TTGGTAGACTCTTACAGGTTTTAGCGGGGTATAAATCTTTTGATCAGATCCAGAGCTGAAGCTAAACGTCAAGGCTTTAATTACAAGTTAAAACTTTTAGAATCCTAAATTACTGTTTTATTTTAAGTGACAGACTACTTATAACTTATAACTTATAATATTTACGCACGCATTATGTTACTTAATGTTATAAGACGGTTTTGAGTGACAGAGCAAGGCAGTAACGAGGGAACAGCCTCGTAAATTATTTGGATGAATGGTCGTTGCAGCAATTAACTTGAGCAAGTAAGCTGCAATGCATATGAGTATGAGTATGCGTACGGTATATAGTACTATACGTTTGGTTACGATGTTATGTGAGCCGAGTAGCGCTGCACTTGGTACCTACACAGTACTTGTAATAGCTCGGTACGGGCACTATATTAGATAATAAACAGAATCAAATAAATTGGTTATATGAGATCGAGGGATCGGGATAAGGTATATGGATTTACAGCTTGAGGATTTGGTACATAGTTGATATATGGACAGTATGTGCGAACTGTAATGACAATCGGTCATTCTGTTATTGCCGATGTTGGAACCCACCTATCAAATGATGTTCATCAGTGAAAATGCTGTTGCAGCCACTAAATTGCTCTATCTGTTATCATTGTCAACGTATATTAACTAGCCAGAAGTAAATTCAGTCGGTACAAATGATTCATGTCCTAGGAAACTTGCAATTGATTTGTGGGTAGTGTTTGTTTGAAATATCTTATAATAAATTAGTTGTAATAAACGCAAAAAAATTGTCTACAGTTAACGAATTATAGAAATTTAAAGTAAAGATTTAAAAAATAGAATTTATGATCACTGTTTGCACAAATTTGTCATTAATCTTGTGTACATACAAATAAATTGTTATCATAACTTCTGTTTCACTAAATTTGAACACACGATATAATAATATTGATTAATTTTGAATTTGGAATTTGTACTTACCTTATCAGAATATATTTGTTTTCATTAACCTCAATAATCAATTGGGCGTTAATAATTTTTAGCAACCCAAATTTGTTCAACTTGTTTGTGGAAAGAAGATTCATAATCCGGGTTTTAAAATTACAAACATGTCAGTGAGATTCTTCAATAATTTAATGTTTTTTCCTTAATATATATTTAATGTGTATTTCTTCTTTTAAAGTAGAGTGGAGTTGAGTGAACTTTTACTATTTTTATTGAATGCAAATAGGTAAAAGCTCGATTCAGAAATATCAGGCTGATAGCTGCTTCGGTGGTGAGCTTTTGAAGATCATAGTGTACATGTGGCAATCGATTGAGCTTTCGGGCAATGGATTTTAAAAAGTATGTCAGACTGGCAAAGTCTGCCTCGGTGAAGTCGATGCTAACCGAACTGGAATGAAAATTTTCGTCTTTTATATTTTACATTTGAGGTTTTTACGTCTAACGTCTACGTTTATTCAATGCCGTGATGATTATCTGTTATACTTTACTGTATTTTTATCGATTTCCTTTTCTCAATAAACATGTGATCTGAGGCTTTCTTATTTACCCCCATGGTGTGTATACTATTCTTTTACATTTTGATGTTTTTTTATGTCATAATTATCTCTTATTAAAGTCTCTATCTGATCATGTGCTACTCAGTTAAGTTCCGTGGACTAACGAAAGTGTAACAATAAAAACAGTAGCGAAAAAAAAGACAAACAAAATTTTTCGATCGTAAAGCACACTCTGGTGCTTCGCATCATGAGTTGTGCAATAATATAAGTTGTCAGTTTATCACGTTTTTAAAGAAAAAGTAAAAGAATAGTGAGTTTTTAAAGTTTTAGACTTAAAATCTTATGAGAAATTACAGTTTTTATTTTATTTTACAAAAAGTGACGTTCAGATTTCGATAAAAATTCAAATGATGAAAACAAATAACAAATTCAATACTTTGCATCATTAAAAGTACAGATTCAGAGTATATGATTTAGGGCCAGGACTTTCGCAGTTCTTTAAATGAGCATTCATATGTTTAACCTCAAATTTGAATAAAGAAAAAATGCCAACTTCCTGGCCCTATCATTATTACTATCATTGATAGTAATAATTAATAAAAAAACTTCCAAAAATGATCCCTGTCTCTCTTTCTCTAACGCGACTTTGTACAGGAAAATCAACTACATAAATTAAATAAGGCGTTGTATGGAACCTTTAATATGTAAGTACCACTTATGGTATAAGTGGTACTACCTTAAAACAAACGATGAATCCATAAATTTAAATGCTTTTTCCTGTAAAAGGTTAATATTATTTTTCTCTAATGAAACTTATAATCATGAATATAGTAAAATTTTTAAGAAAAATGAAGATTTAAATTTTGATAAAAAAAAATGAGAAACCAAATAAATCCGAAGTGCATTCCTGAATTGAATAAATAAAAGAACAATTCTTTCATTTTTGATTAGACGTTATTCGCAACCGAAATACTGGCGTCGTGAGGATATAGAGAGAGTGAAAGAGAAAAATAGTGATGGCCGGTGATATAAAAGGTGAGTAAGGGTAAGAGAACAAAAGATAGAACGAAAATATGAGAGCAGGAGAGACGAAATCTCTTCGCGGAATATGTTTACATTAACGGGGCGGTAAAAAAAGGTATGAGAAGACCGCAAACTGCTTAACGAGTTCTCGGACGATTTGGTTATTTCTGTTCTTGTTTTTATGCGTGACCGAATTGACGGAGGTAGATTTTGTACAGCAATAACGATAAAAAAATTCTACTCTCGATATGTTTAAAATATTCATGGACTTAATTTAAATTTATGGAAGTTTTACTAGATAAAATGGAAAGTGTAGTTAAAATCTAAATCATTGGCGCCACGATCTTGACATCCTTTTTTTTGACGGGAAAATATCTTAAAATTTTTGTCTACTCATTTCCGTGTTCCAACGATTCTATTTTCGTGGTTTGATTTGAGGGATGTACCAACCCAGCGGACAGTTATTAGATTTCTCACAAATTTATCGAGCATGTGCGTAAAAATCAGTGTTTGTATGATCATAATATTAAAAAACAGTACGGTTCTGATTTTGTTGAAAATGTTTGGAAGAAAATAGCCCAAGATTGTTGTTTGGAAAATGGTAAGTTTTTATTACTCATTCATAGTAAACTATAAAAAATATTTATTTTTTTTTATTAGAATTTTTTTTGTAAAACATTTTTTCAATTTATATCATTGTTTTATAAATTGAAATTCATTTTTTTGGTAAATTAAAGAAAATTATTAAATTAAAAAAATTTTTCGATCGTAAAGCACTCTTTGATGCTTCGCATCATGAGTCATGCAATTAAAATTATTAAAAAAATTACCTTGAATCAAAAGAAATAATCTTTCATAAAATAAATTATTTTTAAGAATTTTTTTTTTTTTTAATTAAACAAAAAATTTTTAAAATCACGTAGAATTTGCTTGAGCCTAAAAAATTAATTCGATCAAGAATTTTTTTCTCTCGAATCCAGTTAATTTTTTTTATCAGTTTAAAAATAATTTTTAAACTAAATTTTCTAATAAAAAATTTGAAGCAGAAATTTTAATTTATAGGAACAAAAGCTAAAAGAAAATGGATGTACCTTCGCGCAAGATATAAGTGCGGTTTAGTAAACCCAGCAAAAAAATCAAACTATCACCGTGATCTAAATTTTTTATACTCCTTTGTACAATCTATCGACGTCGACGAAGACGAAGAAGTGCAGTTCCTAATGAAAAAAGAGCCAGAGAATGATCACTATGAAACGATTGAGCGGGGAAACTCTTCTGAGAGATTAAGATCTTCGGAATCAAGAAGAAATAGGTCACGACACTTGTCTAATGAAAATCGTCTATCAACATCCTCTGGTCGTCAATCGGTGTTTAACGAATATCATTATCCCTCTGTGCCAATTTTCCCGCCCGGTGGATCTCTGCATATTGACCATGAAGATGAGTTAAAGCCATTTTTTGAATCGTTGTATCGCTCCACAAAAAAATTGCCGCTAATGCTGCAGAGACATATAAAGACCCAGTTTTTTGAAATAATCAGCGCCGCTGAAGCGAGTGCAACAAATGGACATACTGAGTGATTGATAATGAAATATATAGTTTGCATATTTTACGTTTGTAGAAATCAGAAAACGTATCAGCTATTATTAAGGATTAATATTAGATTATTATTGTTATGTAATTTTTTTAAGAATTTCTATGTTGAGATGAATGATAATTATAAGTATAAGTTTGTTATTTTTGCATGTATTGAATAAAATATTTACCTAATCTAATGGAATTTCCTATTGAAGTTATGGAGCTATATTTTCAAAATGGAATTTTTATGCTCATTTTGTACTCAAGGGTTTGGATAAATATTTATTAAATCATCCAATATTAGAAAATCATTTATTAACTGTTAATACGGCTAATTAAATATTAACAAATTCTTCTATCAATGTATTAGTTGACAAAATGCAATACTATATTGAACGATATTGGTAGAAAATTTGCGTATTAACAATATTTTTCATGAATATACTCTTTATAGTGTAACATATATTTATAATATATCTACACAAAAAAAAAAAAAAATTTACTTGAATCAAGTAAATAATTTTGAAGAATTTCATCTTCTTGATTTAAGTAAAAAAATTTTTAAATGAAGAATATTTTCATGGTTTAAGAATTTTTCTCTTGATTCAAATTAATTTTTTTTTTTTTCAGTGTATGTTATATGAAATTATCAATAATTTAGTTGAAATTAAAAAAGAATCAAAACTAATGGAGTAAAGCACGTTCCGTAATAATAAATGTATTGATAATAATATGACATATGACTAATCTTTGGCGGGGAAAGACGCGGCGTGGATATTTTAACTCCTTGTGTCGTGACGTAAACATCATAAAAGCTGTACTAAGGGAATGATTTCAAGTTCCAAGATCCAGCTAAGCAGTTGTTAACCAGCAGTGATACTGAGAGCTCGAAATATGACTAGTGTGAAAAAGTCTTCTGGTTCGACTAACAGGTTAGCAACCGAGAAATTTATCGAACGTATCAAAAAAAATCCATGTTTATTTGATAATGAAGTGAAAAGAAAAAGCAGCCCAAAAGATATAGATTTTATTTGGAAACAAATAGCTGATGATAGTGGTTTATCAATTGGTGAGTATTTAAATTAAAGCTTCATGTTTTCCGTTATTACAGAATTATTAATTGACGATTAAAATTTATAAATAATAATAATTGCTTGCTATTTCATAAAAATAATTATTTTACACATTATATACATGTGGTTCAATAATTCGCTGTATATATTCAAGGTCAGAACTTTACGGCTGAAGTGAATGCGGTGAAGTTGATTTTTTTACTTCTGAGTATTTTAATTTTTTTTTTTCAATTCTAAGAAGTGTATAAATTTTTAATAAAAAATCTATTAATAGAACGCTAAAAGCAACAATCAAATTTGATTTTTTAGAGCTTGAAAAGAAAACAATAAAAAATAATTTTATTTTGTCTTCCACAAAATTTTATAAAATTCAATTTATGTCTGATAAACTTTTGTATTTGATTCACACCAGGTCAAGCCAAAAGAAAGTGGTCTTATCTCGTCGAAACATACAAAGCCAGTACACGTAATGATCCGACTAAAAAATGTTTCTTCAAACGTGAGCTTAATTTTTTGATCGCGTTCGTACAAGAAATTTCGGCCGACGAGATTCAAGAGACGGGGCGTGTTATAAAAACAGAGCTTCCATATAATTACCCAGATAGTTGGTCAGAAAGTTCGACATCAAGAAAGAGACCAAGATCTTCGCTAGACGATCATCTTCCCTCGACTTCTTCAGCATATCAACCGGTGCGTGGTCCGCAGCGATATTCAAGTACGTCAGTGCCCGTTGATAACAATGACGAGATGATGCATTTCTTCATATCTATGTGTTGCACCGCCAAAACGTTGCCGCGTGATTTACAGATACAGATCAAGTCCAAGATTTCTGAACTCATTAATGGAGCTGAGCTTACTGCTATGCAGAGGGATATTCAATAATAATTTTTATATTAATAAATAAATTCATGCTACTATCATTCAATATATTCATATTTTTAATTATAAATATAAGAAATATCATTTTTGTATGCATGGAATAAAAATTAAAATAACGTAAGAATAAGCAATTTTTATTGAAGTTTTATTAAAAAATAAAACCTCCTCAACTCTAAACAATTTATTAAATATAGTTTCTTATACATATATTACTTGGCTTTGAATAACTGCATACTCGGAAGTTGCTGATAACTCCATGATAAAATATAATAAAAAACAATAATTATCACTTGATAAAAATGTAATAATGCAAGTTCAACAATGTTTTCTAACATTTAAAAAATTTCTTTTAATTAGACAAAACAGAATCGTTTAAGATTTCAATAATATTTACATGAGTATTCAATATGTTATACACTGGATCCTTACAAAAATATATAAAACTATAAAAAGCATTCATCCCAATAAGCGTACATCACTTTAATGATATCTCTCTTATGAATTTTTTTTTTTCACTTATCTGTCAATTGAAGAAATAAATATCAGCGTAGCAGCTTATCTGGAATGATAACAAATCATTAAAATTAGTAAGTAAAAAAAGAAGCAATTAGTTGATTATGTATTTACCACAACAGCATCTTTTGATGCTGAAAAAATCCCAGTCTAAACAAGTCAAGAAAAAAATAAACTTATTGCAATGAATTTTAAGCTTCGCGATGATTCATTTTCTCCGAGAATCGTGTCCAGCAATATTAACTTTTTATCTTGCCTGTATATCCGTGGTATGGTGATATGATGGAAGTTGCATGAACATTCAGAGCGTTCAAGGGAGTTTAGTTACTAACCGACAGTGGTACTGAAAACATCTACATCTTGGTATTGAGAAAAAATATAATACAATGGCTCCTAGCGGGTATAATACGGCAGTGACGAAAAAATTTATTGCTCAAGTACGAAAGAATAAGTGTTTGTATGATATTAACATTAAAAAAAATTTTAATAACAAAAGTTTAGACAATATTTGGCTGGAAATTGTTAATAAATGTCATCTCGTAAGTGGTAAGTTGTTTACGCTTTGTATTTTTTATTATAAAGTCAGGAATTATTATGTTGTTATTTGGTGTTAAATAATTTTGTACAATTAAAAATTATTATTCATAATAGTTTTTAATAGTTCAAAATTAAATAAAAATGAGATTGTTTTACGTGGCAAATATAGAATGTCGGTATCCTTCACTATAAATGTGTAAAGTTTACATTTACTGTTGCGCTCAAGAGTATTTTTACAACATGAAATTTTTAAATGTTTATTCAAGATAAAATCTGATAGTGTTAAGTATATCTAACTTAAAAAAAAATGCTATGATTATATCAATAGCTAATGACTAATGTTTAAATTATAAATTGTAATGTGTATATTTATTGAAATTGATATATTTACTTATCAAAACACTTGAGCACTTGAGCACTTGAGAACAACTTCAGATAAGTCGTGTAATTTTTCAAGGTCAAAGTTTATAATTGACAGAATAATTATTTTGTTTCGCTCGGTGATGATTAAAGATTTAAACTAGAAATTTTAACGCCGTCTTAAATGTCATCAACGATGCATTGTGAAATATTTTAAGAACAATTACTTGTCATAATTAATGTAGGTAATTATATTTACAGTAACCAAAGCTAAAAGAAAATGGGGTTACCTCGCCGCCCAATACAAAAAGGGTCTCCTAAATCCATTGAAAAAATCAATTTACCACGATGACCTCAATTTTTTGTATTCGTTCGTACAAACAATTGAAGATGTTGACGATGATGAAGTGGAGTTCATAATGAAAAAAGAACCCCAGGATGATGAAAACAGACCTAGGATGAGAGAAAATTCTTATGAGAGACCAATGTCATCGGCATCTGGGAGGAATAGCTCAAGACGATTGTCTAATAATGAAAATCGTTCGTCAACGTCCTCAGGTCGTCAATCAGTATTTAGCATGTCCAGTTACCCTTCTATGTCAAGTGAAGCAATGCAGATCGATAATCCTGAAGACGAGTTGAAGCCTCTTTTTGAATCTTGGTATCGGACAACTAAAAAACTGCCGCCGGAATGGCAAAGACATGTGAAGCGTCAGTTTTCTGAAATTATCAACGTTACTGAAGCGAATGTTGCGAATGAAATTGCTGAGTAATTAAAAATCAATAATTAATTGGATGTTTTATTTTTTTTTAGCAATAAAAAATAGTATTGTCGTTTATTCATAAATTTTCAGCATGAATTATCATTTTATTTTCAAAATAATTATTAGTGAAGATTTTGTTACTTTTATATTATTTCTATACTAAACTAATTTCACTTTAATCATCAATTTCATATTATAAGATGTTGAATTTATAAGTAATTTACTAGTTTTTATAACTTAACACTAAGAAAAAAATTACTTTTATTAAAAAAAATTTCTCGACACCAGAATGTATATTTTTTATAATTATTAAACTATTACCGCGTTGAAATTATCAAATATTAATATTATTTTTGTATTTGTATAAAATAAAATTCTAATAAGTAAAAACGCTTAATTTTTCACTGTTGAATTAAATATAAGATACCGTAAATTTCTTATTTTGTCTTAAAAATCCACGTATCCACAGTAACATAGTAATCGAACAAAAACAGTTTAAAACTGTAAAAAAATCGCGCCAAGTCCACGTTCATAAGACTATTAAGAAAAAAAAATTAGTTTTTTTTCTTTACAAAAAGATATAAAATAAAAAAATTAAAAAATCCAAGTAACCTGTATGATTGTTTATAATTTTCGGAAATTTTATATCTTTTTGTAAATAAAAAACTAATTTTTTTTTCTTAATATTCTTATGAACGTGGACTTGGTGCGATTTTTTTAGAGTGAAACTGTTTTTGTTCGGATTTTAGTATTTTTTGTAATTATAATAAAAGTTTACAATTGGTACCAACTTAAATCTCGCTTTGGCTGCATTTTTTATAGCAAACTATTCCCTTGAGGCTACAGTTTATGTAAAAATAATTCTAGCGCACCCTGGCGGGTGTAGATGCAAGTTGTGAAATATCTTTTTTTAACTGTAGTTTTCCATCTAATGAAGGATTACTATGCATTTTCGAATTATTTAGTCTGTGGCAGATCACTTTGCCCATCGAAAAAAAGTCAGGATCGAAATTTATATTATTCGTTCAGTTGAACGTTCGAAACTTCAAGTACATGAAATTTTTGCGTTGCTATAGTTTGTGCTGATTAAATTTATTAATTTCAAGTAGATTAATTGTTATAATTAAATATAATTAATTAATATCAGTAAAATAAAGTATGAATTACTGTTATAATATACAATTTGGGAAAAAAAAGTACCGTAGAATTAAATAAAATTTTGCAACTTCAAAATACCGTTCTGCTTACAGTAAACACAGTCGGTAGTCTGGCGCTCCGTTGACAACGGATTTGAACGGAACTTGGCGCCAGATTCTACCGAATCTTTGGATTATTCGACGCTGACAGTAATTAGATACTGTCTAGTGTGAGGATATAGTATGCAATTTAAGTGTCTAATATAAAAATTATCAGCAGAAATAAAAAGCAAGTTCAACTATAATGCAGTCCGCCTATCAGAAAAAAACATTAAAATGTCCTACACATACGTGCTTGTCTCACTGCAAGCGTTATATTATCTTGGCGGGAAATCGTCGCCACATTCCATTTTTTTTACATTTACATCAGTTGCGTATAATGCGCCTAACAGTTACAATCAGTAAACTATAACTTCAATGGTCCCTTGCAAGTCGGCTATGAGCTTGAAACAAAATTTGATAAACTCCATTCGCAATTATCCTGGTCTGTACAATCCAGCAGACAAAAATTACCGGGATTGTAATTACTCTTCTATTGCTTGGACAGAAATCGTTAAAGAATGTCAATTGCCATCAGGTGAGTCCATTTTATATTTTATTAATAATTAATAATGGATTAATAATAAATGATCAGTAAGCAGTTGATATTTAATATACAATATAATTTTATCTGCTTTGAATAACAGTATGTATTGTTTACATTAAATAAAATTAGCGAAGATCCGATTTTTAAATAATTCCATCACTTTTATCTATCATACGTGTCTTTTGTTCATACATATAATAGATGGATACTATTTAACATATCTAAATGATGAATGATGATAATACCTTGTATATTACATGCAAGGTTATATTTTTAATTCTGCTATTAAGTTTGTTTTGAAAATTTTTTGTGGAACTGATAAATTTATCACCGCATTCAAAAATATTTCTATAAGTTTAAATGAACACGTCTTAAACATTAAAAAAAAATCGACAGGATATTTTTTAATTAAGTGAAAAAATATACTTTAACTTTAAATATCATTTGAAAAAGTAAATTAGTTAAATTTTTTTTTTAAAAATGTTTATCATTTTTTTTTAATAATAAAAAAATTTAGCTAACAGGAAGAAAAATTAAAAAATAATTAAAATTGTAGTTTATTCACAAAAATAAATTATTTCTAGATAATTAATTAATCAATTCTATCCGCAGTGGCAAGAGCCAAATCAATGTGGGCAAATCTTCGTAAAACTTATAAGTACAGCTTATCTAATCCTAATTACAAGAAGCCAGAGTACTACAGCTCATTGAAATACTTGTTTCAATTCATAAGAAATAGCAATTACGAGGACAGTGACGATGAAGTGCAATTTATACTAAAAAAAGAACGCTCTGATGACGACGAAGGAACTGTGACAGATACCTTGCAAAGAACGTCTTCGAGTACAAGTGTGAGGAACCGGCGAAGACATTACCTTGACAATCGTCCTTCGACATCTGGTCGGCACTCTGTAATGCGCGATCACGAGAATCCTAGCTCTTCGCATCATAATAATCCTCAGCGAATTAATCAGATGGACGATATGAAATTATTTATGGACTCTATGTATCTTATGGCGAAAAAATTACCTTCAGCATTGCAGAGACACGTGAGGAATCAAATTTTTGAAATTATTAAAACTGCTGAATCGAGTGCTGTAATTGAAGAAGTTGAGTGATCTTGTTAAATACTGCAAATATCTTTATATAACAACAATATTATAATAATAATAATAATAATAATAATAATAATAAGTCTATTGACTAAGTTTTAACTATTAAATATTTTTTTATTCAAATAAAGTCGTAAGTGTATTTTAGAATAAAAAGTCCTTCACATCAAATTGGACGGTAATGTTCATTAAAAAAAAGTTTTTATTATTAACCGTCCTAATGATTACATGATACTGTAGCAGAAATTCGAGAGATATTTCATACATTTTATGCCATATAATCATGTTCCATCTAGTATGTATGTAATTAAATTACATGTCTAAGTATTATAAGAGCTTCATCGAACAATTGAAAATTAAAAACATTGTACAAATAAAAATATTCCTTGGAATATTATCAAATTATCATTTATCATAAAGAGAATACGGATTATTTATATAACCGCTCCAGGGTACATTCAATTTGAAATTCGCTATTGACTTTGAATTTTATTTTTAAAAACAAAATTTTTATTTCAATAAAATGGAAATAAATCTTTTCGTTTCTTTTTTTTTTAAAGATTATTAAAAAATCCATAACTCGATATTGAAACTGCATCAGATGTAATAGTTTTTTTAAATTATATATTTATATTAATTATTGAACTGACCTTTGCTTGTTTGTATTACAATATATCAATAAATAAATGAACACCCTGAGGCGTTTGTGCTGTTGACACAAACGTAAATATAAATTGATTTTTTCTGTTGTAATTATAGTTCGACGTTATTTCAACACATGTCAAAATTTTCGAGACTAACATAAAATGGATATTATTTACGTTAAATATTAACAAATATTTTGTAATGAATATTTTCATTAATTTAATGAGTACAGAGTTGTTTGATAGAGAAAAATAATTGAAATTAATTATTTTACAATTTTATTTTTTTAATTTAAAATTACAAAATTATCAGATGTCTGCTGCTTTCAATATCATAAAAAAAATTAATTAATTTTTTATTCGATAAAACTGTATTTTAATAAAAATTGCGCATTAATTAAATTTTATTAAATTCTATTTTATAATTGAACTAATAATATCGATGAAATTCTTCGTTTTCAGTATTTGCATGAATTCGTATTTTATATTTAATGATGTTTTGTAAGAACTAATTGTTATGACATTAAAGTTAGCAGTCATATGACTATTTAAAAAATTTTTTTGACAAATAAATTTCTTCCCAAAAATTATTTAAAAAAAATTCCATTTTTAATTTTTTAAAATTTCTACGTGTCAATTTTTTTACCATAATTTATTTGTTAAAAAAAATTATTAAATATTTGCTAAATTAATTTTCATCTAATTATTATATAAAAAAAAATTTAACAATAATAATAATAATAATACCAGTATTTAATTTAGCTTCAGTATTTAATGTAATTAATTATTAAAAACAAAAATAAGCCGATTTTACTATGAAAGCGGATTATATATATATTCTTGACAGTAAATATATAACTAAGTATAAATAATTTATTAGCATAAAAAATTCGTTATCTCAAATTTAAAATTACTAGAAGAATATTTTTACTTAAGAAAGTCCCTATTATATGGAATAACCAATTCTAGGGATTTGTCTCGACCAATCAGAGGAGTTCAAAGCAACTTCGTTTTCGTTTCCGCTAGGCCAGAAGAGTAACAACTCTCGACTCTCGACTCTCGACATATCCGAAGCAATCGTATAGACAGCCACTCACACGTAATACGTCGTAACGTTTTTCTTAGTGACGTACAGTTCAATTTATATAGAAAAATATCAATTTTTAACGTTTTCAAGCGGAATAATAAGTTTTATATATAAATCGATTTTCAAAAAATTAATATAATACAAGAATCCAACATGTCTGGTCCTGACGTTAAAATTAAATTGATTAATTGCGTACGTAAATATCCAGGATTGTACAAACCCTCGTATGAAATGTATCGAAACCGTAATTACGCAATTACAGCTTGGGAAAAAATTATGAAAGAGTGTAACATTGAATCTAGTAAGTTATTTGTTTATTTATTTTAAATTATGGTTTGATGTTAGTGAAGGTTACAGATTTTTGATAGTGAAAATTAATACTTAAGATAAAAAAAAACTTAAATCAAAGTTATATAAATTTTTTTACATCTTACATATAATTTTTCATAAAATTATACATTTTTGTTCACTCACAATAGTAAAATTTGGCTATCTATTAATTTTTGCGTCATCAGCTATTAATTATACATCACATTACTTATTTCTTTAATAGTAAAAAAAAAAGAAACAGCAGACTTGAAATTTTTCGTTTTCAAATAAACTCTTTAAAATCGCTGTATTTTATATTATATTTCGTGATATTGAAATTAACAAATATATGATGATTTTTCGGGTTTTTATCATATAAATTATAAAGAAAATCTCTAAAAAAAATATTCATAATTTTTTTAAGTGAATTTTTCTTTACAACTATTTGTTTAAAAAAACATCTTATAACTCAGAGTCTGACAATTACTGTATTGTAAAATGTTTGAAAGAATAATACCTAGTTTTATGGATTTGGGTTCACGTACCCTGACCCTTATTTCTAAAAAATCATAAAACTAATCCGTTTTCAAGGGTATAAATCTGGCAACCAAATGCATCTCCAATATTTTTTTTTTTTTTTTTTTTTTCCACTAAATATAATAAAAATAAAATCTTAAAAGAATTTTTGTAGACGAACTTACTTTTTCAAGTCTGCCATTTCTCAATCATTGTCTTCACTGGCAATTAGTTAAATTTTTGAATATTATTTCCAATAATAATTTATAAAGATCTATAAGACTGCTTCAAATTTAAAGATACTTTATTTAGAGTTTTTTACGACTAAGATCACGCTTTTTCTGAGAAGCTTTAAATATTTTTTTCCTATCAGAGTTTAGTAAACAAACGCCACGAGATCGTGGTACGGGTATAAGTATGTAAGACAAAGAGTTGAGTTCTCTTGATACAAAAGAGTCTTGACCTCCTGAGTAAAGCAGGAAAATTTAAGACCTATTGGAGACTCTCAACTTAAAACTTTAGTACAGAAAAAAATGATTTATATTTTTTTCACTCTTATCTCTAAATTTTTTATTAAAAAAAAATGTCAATTGAAATTAGCCTCGTTAAATTTTCTTAAACTTCGAATCATTTATTGTAATCAATTAATCAGTTTGGTATTGAATATATTTTTATTCAACAGTCACGAAAGCCAAAGATATGTGGGCAAGTCTCCGTAAGTCGTACACCGGTCATTTGAAAGCACCTGGAGAGAAAAAAGCACCAAAATACTTTGAAGAAATGAATTTTTTACGTCAATACATTCCTGAGACAGCTGCTGATGGATTCGATGATGATGAGCCGGTTAAATTGAAAGCTGTACCAAAACCAAAGCCCCAGAAAGCCCAGACTGTAGTTAAAGCTGGAGCCCTAAAGAAAAAGCAACCTGCTGAACCTAAAGAGGATGCTAAAATCCCAGATGATTTGAAGTTATTCTTTGATTCTATGTACGCTGCGACTAAAAAACTGCCTTACTCTATTCAGCGTCACGTGAGAAACCAAGTCTTCGAAATCGTTTCTTTCGCTGAAAATTCCATAGGCTAATTTTATTTATTAATTACTTGACACTTGATTAAAAAAGTAATTTTCTATTTATAGCGTTCAATACTGCCAAAATTATGTCAGTTTAAAAATTATTTTAAGTTATAAATTATATATGTTTAGTATTCATATTGGATTTTCATTAACTGATTTTATAATTCGACTTTTTATTTTGATTAATTTAATTGTTAATTATTAAACAATTTATAAATTAATAACTTTATGAAGCACTTATGTTCATGTTATATTTAAACTTTGTTTCAATAAGCCGCTGGTCAACAGATTTAATTATCAATAGAATCGTTTTGGGAATAATTTTCAAGAGTTTAATATTATAAATTTATGTATTTAATAAAGTAATGTACAAATATGGAAACAAATTTATAATATTAAATTTTATGTATTTTATAAAGTAATGTACAAATATGGAAATAAAATTTCATATTTAGTCATTCAATTAAACTATTTTAATGATGATAACAATCGTTTTCTAGGTATGCATTCCTGAATAAAACTCCCATGGTGAAGATGTGTATATTTTATATTTATATAAATATAAAGTGTGAAAGCTGGTGTATGAAATAACGAAAATGGGGATGAGCGACCTAGTTGTAAACTATAACTATATGCCAAGTACCGTTAAGAGACTTACAAGCATCTAAAACCCATCACCTCGGTAAGAAACTACCTCTCTTTCTTTCTTTCTTTATTACCCTATTTAACAAGCATTCATTTACTATGTCCATGTACATAAACTCTTATACTTTCAACAAACACCTACACTTACCGCGCCAGAAAACCTCAATCACTTTAAATTCACTTGAAACGTCCGTGCAAGTTACAGTCTCGTAATGAGCTTTATACCAACTAATTCCAGGAAACACATTGCGAGCTTCGAGTAATTATTATCTTTCTAAATACATTTTTATTTACAATCGTGTAGAAACTACTAGTCAGGTATAATATTGACTATAAATTAATTTTTCTTTTTTTTAAGAATTTTAAATCCTTTTTTAAGCTACAGTATTAAATGTTTTGTTAATAAAATTACTATTGAATTAAAAGTTATTTTAGAAAGCACTTGTAACTACAAATAATTTTAAATCCGGGATTAAATTTTATTTAGGATTAAAGTAATCCTGACGTTGTTAAAAACTGATAAGTAGAACTAATGCTATTTATAAACTAAACATATTTTTCGTTTACTTTTTAATTTTTGCATAATTTTTAACTCTATAAATTACTCAAACTTTACATATAACTAAAACGAGAATAATTACTGACTATATCTAAATATATAAATAAAATTTCTAAAATTAAGATATCTAATTCTCTATAAATCCATGAGCAATTGCAAACACAATATAACTGTCGTATTCAACTACAAGAACAAGTACAAGTTGATAATAATTATCTTCAATTATCCCCTGTCTAGTTTTCTAGACTAAATGTCTAAAAAACTCACAACCAAGCCAAGTCCAGGTCGATTGATTTAGCGTTGATATCATTGCATATGCTCAATAACTCGTTGTTGGTAATCCACAGGTATCAACCTGACCCTCCGGCTCAAACTCATAGTGAGTTTTCCAACTGCTACCACCACCACCACTACTGTCTTCGTCCTCAGTTTCTTCTGGATGATCTTGCGCTTTCGTACATTCAATAAAGTTGAGTAGAGACAAAGTATACCACACATACGTGTGACCCTGGAAGGATCCACCTGTGAATGTATCACACCCCTACTTCTATTTCTACTTCAACTTCAACTTCTGGTCCTCTGGTTCTCGGTTTCCGCCTCTGTAATATAGATGCGGATGTAGTTGCGTCTACACTCATAGCAGATAGGCTAAAACTTTATAGTCTTTCTCAGTGTCTCTATTCTCTCAACTTTCCTTTCACCCTCAGTACGCGTTCAAGTATTGATCCACGGTCTACCCTCTCACGTAAAGTTGTGCCGTCCCTGCGGGGGAGGCAGTGGTGGTAGTGGTGGATGGTGGATGGTGGAACGGCCCCCAAACTGGAAACTCTGAGTAGAGCCTGCAAACCAAACTACGAGGTACCCGCCGGCGCACACTATGCTACCACTGGTTTTAGTATTAGTACTGTACTAGTACGGGTTGGCTGTAGTATACCCCAACGGTGTTACCACCATCACCATCTAGCAACCGGCACCCCCGCGTACCATCTCACTCCCTTTATATTTCAAGTCCCCTTCGTACTCGCACGTACGTCCGTCATCCCCTTGCCCTTTTCTCGTTCTACTGCGTACGAGTGCGAGCACAAATACTATTAAATACCCAACAGCACCGTATCCAACTCTGATGGTCTATGGTCTAGCCTGCCTGTATCTGTCTATGTCTATGTAAGGGTTACGCGTAACTACAATTGCTTGCTGTCTTTCACTTACGCAACTGAAACCTCCTTCTCGGAATGTGGATGTGCAATGGGCAAAAGCATGGTTGTAGGGAACTCAAAGTATGTATATTTCTATGCGTACGTGTTGGTATTAATGTTTGTGTTAGGTAGTATCATCTCACGCATGAAACAATCATACCAATACTGTGCCACTTAGCTGTTAGGTGTATAGATTGCTCGGACAGGCGAAGGCGCGGGTAAATTAATATGCGGGAGGAAAACGCTGATATTGAGAAAAGAGACGTTCTGTTTTGCTTGAGGGCATCTCACTGGAGCTGTTTATCAGAAATGCTTCGTAATTTATATCATAAATGCGCTTTATTTTCTGGTTATTGATATTACAATTTTATTCAAAGTTTTGGGTATTCTTTTTTATTTCAAATTTATACTCACTTATGTTATTTTTATTTTAATTTACTGAACATTTTGTGATGATTATTGGATTATACTTTAATAATTTACTCATTTAAAATTTGTGTTGGGAATAAAAATTTTAAATTTATTTTATGGTGGCAAATAACCACGATTCCTGTGTCGTAATTTTTCTATTTAATATCGCGATTTATATATCTAAGAACTACGTGCCAGGAATGTGGAGTCAATTTTATTATTTCATTAATATTAATTTAATTTATTTGGAAGCTTGGGTTTTTTATTTTTTTTTTTTTTTTTTTTTTTAAGTAAAAAAATTTATCTTCCAATACCGCAATCTGAAATAATAAAGACAAGTGCAGTGCAGCTTCATACTTATATTTTTTTGAGGGAATAATAATTCGAATTGATGAATTGGAAGCGGGGGTTTTAAAAAAAAGTAGAGACTGTAGAGCTCCTAAAACTCGCATTGATTGCCTTGAGGGTCCCCGTTGGTGTACATTTTACGACTGGTAGTAACATTTGATGGTAGCCCGTCGACCGTCGACAAACTTGACGTAGTCGATGGGGATACTACACATAGCAAGTATTATATCAAGAGGCGAGTGGTACGATGAAGGTATAACGGTATATAGAAGGGCGCGGAGGCTTACTACGGGAGTATGAAGAAGAAAAACGGTAAAGGGATGTTGAAGAGGAACAAAACGTTGACGGTGAAGTCTCTCCACTCTATAGCCCGGGTCAAATGGGATTCATCGGAAGGAAAATATTTTTTTTTCTTTTAAAAATAAAAAAGTATTTTATATATTATTATAATAAATTTACTTGTTTGTTGAGCTTGCGGTTATTTACAAGGTTAATTTGAAGTCAGTTTAGTTTAAGCAAGCGAAATTATACTGTTATTATTATATTTAGTATTATCTATTCTATTCTATCCTATTCAATATCATGAAGAGGATTAGACGTATTTAATTTCACCGATGTTTAGAGAATTAAATGAGGTTAATGCGATTGAAATTGATATGGTTAGAAATTTGTTGATATATTTTTGTGCTTTTGGATAGTTTCAGTTTTTATCAATAAGAAAATTATTATTATTGTTATTATCATTATTAATTTTAGGATGATTATGATTACTATTATGATTATAAAATGAAGGATGAACATGTTACACAAATAATTGAATGAAATAGTTTGATGAGCTAGTACCGGCGTGACGGAAAGTTTAAGCTCAGGAAATAACCAAAACCGCCAATGAACCAACTAGTTATCGAGGAAGTATAATATCAGCAGAGTAAAGGGATGTTGTAGAGTGTAGGGTCAACGATACAGCTTTTCAACGAGTAAAAGGCATTGAACTAGACTGTACTTATATAGCATGTAGCTGAGTTGTAGTGTGTCGGGGGTGTCAAAATATTGAAACCAGCGATTACGGTGTAACTGTAGAACCACCAGCCTGCGGATAACGCCCAGGAAGCTTCTATTCACCCTTCAAAACTGCCCGTTGTTAACGATACTTCTATTATATTGCCATCTATATAGTCTCAAGATTACGCAAGTGTACACGGCAACAATATATATCCAACTTTAAAGCTGCTTTTGTTTACAATCCTTTACAAAGTTTATCCTTTTTTAATTTTCTACAGAAATTAGCTAGTAGATTTAGTAATATACGTTAAATTTTTTATCATGCCATAAATCTTTTTAGATTACCACAATTTTTTGTAATTTTAGTAATTTTAAATTTCAACTAGAAATTATATTTATTTGAATAACTATTTGGAATTTTATTTTCCATTATTAATTCATAATTACTTACCACGCTTTAGTTAACGGTTTCTTTTTATCGCAGCTTATTGATATTGAACTTTGCGACGGATATAATTAAAATTAATTTAACAGCTACTGACTATTGAGAAGTTTATTGAAAAAAAAAAAAAAATTTTTTTTAATTAGAACCTTCATAGAGGATTCAGTGTTTACAAAAGATCATTTCCATTGATGTTTTACTGGAAATATATTCAGTATCCTACGCGGTAATTAAATTTTTATTCCTATTCAACACTCGATGCTGAATACACCCACATAATACTAGCGAAACTACGAATCCGGTTCATGTTTATTCGATTAAACTTTATCGATATTTACATAATACTCCAATAGTCTTCAATTCACTCAACCAAGGTTGTGTCTATGTACAAGAACTTCTTTTAGAAGTTTTAAAGTTCTAGATTGAAACTGAGACTCTGTTAAATTACTTTTGAGAAAATTAATCATTCAGAAAAAAAAAAAAAAAAAGTAATAATCTAATATCTCGATAAAAATTATTACAAGTTTTTTAGTTGAGCTCTTACACTTTCAGACACTGATGATAAAATTGATGCCGAGATATAGACGCATGGATTGTTATAA